CCTGCTGAAATCATAACTGACAACTGTCTACTTTTATAATTGTCTTCTACTGATCTTCCATTTTTTTGTGTCTCTGTAGGTTGCTATGGTGTTGATGGAGAGAGCGACTCTATCATGAGTTCAGCTTCAGAAAATTCCACTGAACCTTGGTTTTGTGATGCATGCAAATGTGGTGTCACACCTAGTTGTGAATTGTGTCCTAACCAGGATGGGATCTTTAAGGAGACGGATGCAGGCAGGTAAGACTAAAGAAGTGATGTTTTGAATTTGATGTCATCTTACACTTAAAAGATTGGCTTTTGCTGTGTTTCTGTAGTAGACAGTATCATAAATTAAATTTTGTTGATGTCCCCACTCTCTCACCTTACTTTTGAGTTGGGTGCTCTTTGGATAGTCAGTCACCTAATTTTTTTGTGTGCTCCTAATATTTTTCATGGCCATTATAATATTAGGAAGATGTTGTCTTAAGGTGAATTTGAGAATGAAGATTTATTGGCCATTGAGCAAAAGAAGAAACATTTACTTCAAGGACTGATAAATCCTGTTCTTCAGTATGAAGTGACCATATATTGCTATATGCTTGCAGATGTCTTACTGGATATACTAGAAGATATACTAGTAGTATTTGGTATCTAGAATTTGAGCATATATTCTGCTAGTTCAATTTAATCAGCTGCCAGGAAGTTTCATTTTATGCCTTGCTAGTATTGTGGTGCTTTCATGGTTAATCCTGAAGAGCAGCAAGACACCAAAGTATTATTTTTTTAGTTAATAATGCCACAAAAAAGTATTAGGAAGTCTGCAGCAGAAAACACGTTACTGACTGAGAGAAGTATGTGGCCAGAGGGAAAATGAAAGCATATGCTCCATTTGAAGGAAGGAAAAGTAGACTTTATCCTTCCTGTAGTATTCTGCTTTGTGCGAGGTAACGTCACTGCAACCTTGTACAGACTGTGCTCAAGTCTGTTGACTTTTAAGTATGACAAGTGGGAGGACAGCTCTGTGCTTCTTTTCAGGAGAGCTAAGAGCTGGGTGTCACTGATGTCAGTTAATCAAAAAATGTAACAAAATTATATTGAATTTGTGCTAACGGTATTCAGACAGACCTGGTATATTATGATTATTTTGAATGATGAAAATTATATTCCTGGTTTTTGAGAATATGCTTCACTTCTGATAATTTCCAGCCAGAGGTGGGTGTTTTAGGAGGGAGTTCAGGTCTAATTTGAGAGTAAGTGGATTAATTCTCATGTGATGATTTTCATTCCTGTCACGTTTGGAAAATAAATTAAGATGTAGATATTAATGGTAACTAATTTTCTATAATAAAGGAGAGGGCAGGACTACCAGTGATGTCTGATTTATGGCTACTGTTACTGGGTTTTGATGGGTGAAGTTTTGTTTAGTTTTGTTTTCTGATTTTCTTTATTTTTTTTTTCCTAAGACCATGACAATTAAGTTCTTTTCCCATACAATTTACAGTTATATAAATTGTAGATGTGTGGTTATATAGAAAGCTTTCACATGCTGGGCCTGTTGTAAACTCTTAATTGATCATGTTAATACAGGAGGGAAATATTAAATTGCTAAGGCTGTTCAGAGGAAAAGGAAGCATTCTTAATCCTGTTTCAATGTATGTGTTTGAGATGTAGAAATACAGAAGTCTGCAGACATATCTTACTGATGATGATGGATTAGTTGGAGAGAATCTAGTTAAATATTCAGTTAAATATTACTTCAAATACTTTAAGTACTCTGAAATTCAGAAATTTCAACATGTTACTGTAAAACTTTTATGTTTTTAATATGAATTCATAGTCACATTGCTATTTACACTTAGCTATGTATTTTAGAACAACATCTTTTTTACTAGCAAATTGCAAAATGTAACCATGGCCTCGCTCTTTTTTCACCCACTGGTGAAGTGATCTTCATGGTTTTCTCTGGTCATTGTGATGAGTTCCCTAGATGGACTCGTACAAACGCTAGGAAGTGAGTTAAAATGAAGTAAAATTTTAATCTTAACATCTGTGTTTAGTGAGCTTTTGTATATGTTATCACATACATATACAGCTATCTTGTAATGTCTGCATAAGCATGTCCGTCCGTCTCCCCCCTCCTCCTTTTTTCCCCACTTGTGTGCTAGGTTGGGTGTTTTTTTGCTGTGTATTTATTACTTTCTGGTCTTACACAGACTTTGCTCTTGCCAATAATGTAATGATCTGGTCCTGCCGTCGTTAAAAGCTCAGCAGAGCTCAGGATGATATTTTGGAAAGCCTTTTTTTACATACAGTGATGTCAGTCTTCAGAAAAGTAAATAGAGTATTAAAGTGTCATAAGTTGATTCAAGTTTCGTGGATTGTACATGGACTTGCATTTCTATCTTAGTTTGTATTTTTTCCTGATGGCAAAACAAATTTGAATTTATGTTGGAAATAAAAAGATAATGAGGGTATTCATAACACTGAACTTTGACCACTGTATGCAGATGCTAGCAATAACCTTTGGAGACATCTGCTTTTCTCCACTGAATATACACTGAGCTCAGCTTCTCAATTTGTAGCTGAGATTTATTTTAAAGATATGCAAGCAGCATGTAAAATATTTTTTTTCCCCTTCATGTCTGTTACATATCTCTTATAGTGGGGAAACAATGAAAGTAGAAGAAAATACTGTCCTATTTAAAAAAAAAAATACACAAATGAGGCAGGATTTGTAGCAAATAATTTTGACCCCGTAGAAACAGTTGTGCTTCTTTTTAAATACCTCTGGAGTTCAGATCCTCAGTTTCTGGTCCATCTCAGGTTCAACAGTGTCTGTGTGTCTCCCACAGTAAAACAAATTGTACTTCTGCGTTCTGTTTTTTATTTTAATACTAATGCAGCTATATGAAAAAAAAATCTTTTTAAAGACTAAAGTCAATTGCCCAACACTTAGGAAATATGAGAATCAAATCAGTATCACGACAGATTTTATTTCAACCTTTTTGTTCCTGTGTTCTGTAAGGCAGTTTAAGCACTATGTATGTAATTTCCCACATGTCTGTCATTTCTATTATGGTTAACTTTTTAAAAAATTGCTTAAATTTCTTCTTGTAAAATGTTAGTATGCTTTTGGTTAATGTGGAAGTGTTTTCTCTGTGACACTGGTTCTCTGTGCAGATGCACATGTGTGCTTTGGTGATTGTGGGCATTAACACATTAATTTGTTATTGTTATGATTGTATTTTTACCTGCTAGATAATGTGGTGTGGCTATCATGAATAAGTCTGTTCTCCCAGATAAACAGAGCTCATGTACTAGAAAGACCCCCAACTAACTACCGTGTGAAAATTCCTGTGTTCTCTCTTTCTGCCCTAAGAGTAATGGGGCACTACAGGCTAAGGGCAGGGTCTTAGGGCAGGCAGTGTCCATTGTGTTTCCACTGTACTTTGTGGACTGTAACTCAGTTCAATTCTTTTCTTGAAATAGTAGCAGAGAGAGTACTGAATAACATTCCTTTAACTCGCCATTTCTCTCCATCCCCTTACCGCCTTTATAAAAGAAATACTTCGTATGCATTGGTGCTGGAAATTACACAAACCAAACATAATCAGTTTCTCTTCATAATCAAGTTGGAATAATTTCTCTGTTCCTACGTGAAAGGTGAATCATTAGAATAATGAGGTGCTTAATTTCTCAGCAGAAGCCTTTTCACATTAACCTCTCAGTTTCACAAGCATAAATGTGAATTTATGAAATTTTATTTCTTAGAATGCTATTATTCAAGAATATGAATTCTCTCCTTGTTTCGGTATGGTATTTTTCTTCTTCCTAATCAACATCTGTCATCATTGCTCCAAGCTAAATGGATGGTAAAGTAACAAGGAAGATTATTCTTCTTTGATTACCCAATTTGTCTTAATTACAAGCTTCTAAAACATGTGCAGCTAAACAAATGAGCAGGAAAATATTTAGAACTGGTATTAAAAGCAGCTGCGATTGCTTCAGCTGTGAACTTGACTGACTTGTGTATGTTTTTAATAAAGATTCAGATCCAAGTTCGCATATAGGTGGCTGAAGAAAGGAGGCAGTTGTGTGCCAATCACACTGAAATGGCAGTTTAAATCTGTAATACTGTAATACTTGGGTGACATGTACTAAAACATTTTGAGAAGGTCACTATGAAGCAAGCAGCCAGCTGTTGGGTTTATCATAGATAAACTCCTACAGAGTGCAGCAGCATTTAATACACCAGTGGAGCATGAAAAAACTGTGCAAATTAAATTGAGAAGCAGCTGCTTGTAGAAGATGTGTATCTTTATATTGAACTTTGGAGAGTACGTTTAGGAGGCTGTATTAAAACTTACTATCAGAAATCTCCAACCAGAACCTTGGATTTTTTTTGAGAATAGTAATTGTGGAGATCTGTAACTTCTGTTTATATAAGTTTGTTCTATATAACACATCCTAAATCAATGGAAGAGTATAGAAAGAAGCTCTATGGAATTTAGAAGGATTTTATTTAAAATCAAGCAGTCTCTTGGTCTCAAGGTTACGGGTCTCATTCTGCATTTTGGTATTTTGCTTTAAAAAAAAAAGGATTTTGATTGCTTTTGAAAACGAGCAGTGTATGCCCATTTAGATGAAGTATGTATTTTAGTAAATGCATAATATATATGAAAATAAACATTTATGCACGCACATATGCTTTTTTGGTAGGAGTGTTTCGTAAAGGTATGGTAGTGATTTAGGCCAAACTATAGCCAGATCTGGATACAGTGTGGAAGGGCAGAGATGGTACCAGGTGCCTCGTTGCTCCCCCACAGGAATATTTTGTGCCTCCATTGCTTTTGTGGGGAGGCAGACAGAGGATACACTTTTCATGTAGTAATGAGAAGAATCTTACTTTTTGCATTAACACTGTTTTAAATTAGGAGGTTGTGCTGGCATGCTGGGGTATTTATGCTGTAATAAAAACAGTGATAAGCTTTACTCCCTATCTGAGCAGCAAGAAGTTCGGCAGAACACTTGAGTATCTCAGTTCTCTGGCAGTGAGCGTGCTGTCATATTTGTACCATCTCATTTAAAGACAAGGCTGTAAGTTATCTTTAAACTTTAAATTTTCTTTGAGCCTTCCAGTAGTTATAGTGCTGTGATCAAATCGTTTTGTAGATATGGAGAACCCTAGTAAACTCTGTGAAGACAAAGCAATGCAGCTGCTCCATGTAAATCTGTGTTTATACATTCTTCTAATAGTTTTAAATTTTCATATTTTAAAGGAAATTTACTACGTAGACTCTTGAACATGAGTGATTTAGCAATAGGGTAAAAACTTCTTTTTAAATAAAAAGGTGAAGAGAGTCTAGTATGACACTGTGGATCAGTGTTGTGATGAATGTTAAATTTACTGGGAAATTTATTATAGAGTGAAGTGAGTTAATGGCTTCTAAGGATTTTCTTACTGTTACTGGGATTTTTCTGTTATCCGGTTATCATCATGGACTATTTTTGGGAATATGCTAAATGAACAGTCTTTTCACCAATTTTGTACATTGCAAGATCATTCTTTTCTTTTGTAAGTACTTAAATGTATATGTATTTTTGAGCTTGATACTGAACCTTTCATATCTTGCTTTTATTTTGAATTTGTGTTTGGATATTTAAGTCATATAAAATTAACATGACATTTAATAGATGTGAATATGATAAATTCCAGCACTGCCGGTCTAAGGGCCACTGATGAGGAACATGCTGATTTCAGAAACATGGGAACTCAGGGTTTCATGCAGATCTTGCCTGGTATAACCATCAGCTTAAGTATTTCTCTCATCTGTAGACAGCCAGTTAATAACAGGTTAATAAATCTGCTATTTAAGTGGAGCTAAACCCAGGATCTTACTGCTTTGGACTCACTTTTTTTTTTTTTTATTGACACACAAAACGAAGAGGAGGGAGAAGAGATAGCCTAAACAGTAGTAGAAGATTGGAAAAAAAGAGCATAGCTGCAAGGGTGCCTATTTAAGTAGTGGTAAGAGATCTGTGATATGTGGGTAATGACAGAGCAAAAGGAAGAAGTGTTTCTAGCATCATCATGAGTCTTGAATACAGGGGGTGGATTCTATGATTCCATTAGAACAGAAGCTTTAGCATTCATTAGTGATGCATTTACTGTTACAAGTTAATGACTGGGAAGATTATAGAGTACTGAATTAACATACTTGCTGAGGGTCAAATACAGGATATTTCAGCTTAGTTTTGTCTGAAGTCTCTGGTTGTATCTGATGTCATCTGGAAGCTCATATATTGAAAGTAGTAGCTACACACCTCTACAACTGTCAGGCTGTTTTCTTGAATATTTTAAGATAACAGAAAGTAGCAATATTGACCTTCTGTGTATGACAGTTTGCTCCCACCTAGTGACTTAGCAAGGGGTAGCAAATAGTTTCTGGGATTTTGAAAAAGTAGAAAGATTACTTTGGAGAGGGATACTTAGTTTTTTGGAGTATTTTGTCTCAGTTGATTTGAGTTGTGCGTGCTGTGTAGAACAGATTTTGAGTTTGTCACTGACAAATGAGGTTTGTGACAATGAGAGTTGGATCTTTTAGAAAGCGTTCATTATGTAAGAAGAAGAAAATAAATCTACTGCAGCAAGGCTGTCCTTTGGTAATTGAGAGTTTCAGGAGATTATGAAGATGTCTGTCAAAGGCAGACTAGAGGCTGAAGCCTTTTTCATTGTGTTGTATTTGATTACTAGACACTGAGGTCCAAATTCATGCTGTCTCATTTTATGCCCCTTAGGTCTGAAGATTTTAGACCTGTTACCCTCCAGTTTGTCTATGGCCAGTGAAAAAGAGTACAGCTAAGTAACAGTGTCAGATAGCCATTGCTGTAATAAACTCAGGTGTGCTTATAACTGAATGCAGCTCCTATCTTTGTTGCTTAAAACTAGTTAGTTTTGGTGATATGAACAGGTGTAACTGTAACAAGGCAAAGTCTGCTTGATGCTGGGTTGTAGGTACTTCATAGCTCTATGACTAGAGCTCAGCATTGCAGTGACTACCTGTGTGATTCTGTTCCTCCCCACCCCCTGCCCCCTCATCAAATTATCTGTCTGCCTTGGCTTTGTAAGTAATATCAAAATCTTCATATACATTTCATGTAGCATAAAAAGCAGTGTGGAGCCCCATGTGAGAGCCAGGTGATGGTAGCCCAGCCCTTTATCCAGATAGGCAAAGCAATCCCAGTGCCTTTGAGAAGCCTTGCTCTATGGTTCAGGGTGTGAGCTGCTGAATTCCGAATATGCCTTTTCTCCCTGCTTCTGAAGTACTCTCCTTAAAACACATTTCTCCTAGCCTCTGTAACATTTACAAGGCACTTTGAGATCTGCAAATGGTAAGTATAATACAGGATCAAAATGTTGATAACAGTAACCTAACTTTATCTGCTGTTTTAGGTGGGTCCATATTGTTTGTGCCCTCTATGTTCCAGGAGTGGCATTTGGAGATATTGACAAACTGCGGCCAGTAACACTTACAGAAATGAATTATTCAAAGTATGGTGCCAAGGTGAGTTTAGAAAAGAGATACTGCCAATGAGTAGCATTATTTTACATTTTTACATATAATAGAATAACATACATCTTCCCAACTTTATTTTTCTTGCTTATAGCAATTGCAGTGAGGTTCTGGACAAAAATGAGATTGGTTGTTCGTGGTCGTTATACCATTGCTCTTACTTCCCTCTTTCTTTCCACTTTCCTTACCACTGTTGGCCATAATTTTTACCGCTGTTTTCCCCTTAATTTCCGTTATTTTTCACACAGGTGCTAATTTCTTTTAAAGTCAGTTAGTTAGTGGCAGATTGCCAGAATATAGATGGAAAATGAAGAGGATTTATGGGATGCGAAATGGAGAAGTGGAAGGTTGTGTTGATTAAGAAATCAACAGTTGTATGTTCAGTAAGAATTACTTTAGGGTCTATATAATTATAAGCTACAAAGCAGTATTTAAAAAAAACCCAACGCACCAACATAGGGCCCTCAATTTGAACAGAAAAATGCCTCTAAAATTAAAATTCTTTTACTTGTATATGTTCTCAATCCAGATCAGAAGTGATCATGCACAAACCAAGCTGAACAAGATTGCAATGGGGAGAAGACAGCACTCTGTAATTTACTAAATATTGTTTCTGTAGCTATTGTGGACAGTCTAGAGAAGCCCAATCTGTCAGGCTAATGTGAGCGAAGGTGGTTGTACTCCTGCTGCTCTAATGCTTCATCTGTGCATAGCCAATTTCATTTTCTGGAATGTTAATTTATAAACCTGAACACTAAATGAAAAGATATATACATTTTAAAAAATACGTATAATGTATAAACTAAATTAAAACACCTTAGATTGCCTGTGTGCAACATACGTATATCAGGAGCGTGTTCAGCGTGGGCCTGCTGAGACATTTAACGTTGTTCAGAAATGTTTGTATAAAAAAAAAAAATATTGGAGGAAGCTCCCCAAACCCTACAGACTGGTGTTGCAGTGAATTATGAGTTTTATTTTTTTATTAACATGAGTGATGTATAGGGGCATGGCTAAGAATCTGGGTGTATTTTATTACTGTAAGTAGAGGAAAAGTGAACCGCACAGATGAGGACTCATTGCTCTCACAGAGCTGGAAGCATACGTGGTTTGCTGTACCAAGTGTGGAAGTTACGGTTTACTTAGCTAAATTTCTCCCTGCAAACTCAGCTTAATATAATGTTCTTTTTCACTTCATTTCTTATCTGTTACATGCTGCTGTTGTGCAGCCAAAGGGGTCCCTTTTAGGGTGGTGTATGTGGTGTTTTGAGATTCTTCAGTCGCTGAGGTTTCTTTACCATTCCTTTCTGTTGTTGTTTAACTTTCTGCATGGAGATACTTCCTCCAGGTGGTGCACAGCTTTGCTCTGTATTTAGCATGTGAGAGATTAAGAAATGCACACCTGTATAATTTTAGATCATCTTTATGCAGTGCAGGGCAGTTATTTCTTTCTGCATCATCACGCATTTGCTCCTCAGTTCTTGCTTATCAAAAGATATCTATGTAATTATCTACGGCTTTCAGTCATCCAGAGCACTGCTTTTTCTTCTTGTTTGTCCTCTGAACTTTTTGAAAAATTGAGCATTTGCTGAGCAGTAATGTTGTTTTATGATACCATACTTATGTAAGTAATTGTGCATGAATTGCTTGGGTGCTATTTAGTTGTTACTCTGAAGGGAAGTACAAGACATGGAAGTTAATATAAAAATTGATCCAACATGCTGTTTAGGTTGTTTAAGCACTTTTCCATTGCTACTTGAAGATGAAATCAATAATGGGCGTTGGGAAGGGGTGAAGTTTTAAGTACTGTCAGCTGTCTGCATCATACTTGGTTTCTGTACCACCCAGAAACGGTTTGGGTTTTATATGCGAGATAAAAATTATCAAATGTTAGGCAAAACACACCTGAAATTTTTACTGTAACATTTTCCACTCTTCTTTGTAAAGGAATGCAGTTTTTGTGAAGATCCTCGTTTTGCCAGAACTGGTGTATGCATTAGTTGTGATGCTGGGATGTGCAGAGCTTATTTCCACGTGACCTGTGCTCAGAAGGAAGGCCTCCTCTCAGAAGCAGCAGCAGAAGAGGTAGCTATGGAAAGAATAGAATAAAAGACTTGTATTTAAAGTTTTTGAAGATGTTATGAAATTATGCCTTTTTTGCTCACCACACCCGAACAAAGTTTTTGTAAATTGGTAGCAAGTCATAGGCCAAGTAAAGGGACTGCCCAAGCTCTTTGTTCTCCAAATTGTCCAAATTTGAGCACCTTTTGAAACAACCTGGATAAAGAGATAGAGAAGGTTAACACGGAAATTGGCTTAATAGACGATCATTCAATACAGACATGAGTTAAATCTCTAATTCTTGAACTTTACCTGGGTTGGCATACTTACCTAGCTGTTTATGTAGTATAGTAATCTGTTTCGTACCAAATAGGGCTGTCTTGGGAGATTAACTGCATTTCTAATACCATTTTTTCCTGCCTGTTTTCCAGTATTTTCTTGCAATTACAGTACAGGTATATGACTTTCCTTGTGGTAACATTAATGTTAGGAATCAGAACGATGAGCAAACATTTATAACCTGCTGATAAGTTTTTAATATCTCTTCTTGCCAGTTTTCTTCCTGTAATTTTATTAAAGCAGTTTAGATCTGAAGCCTTTACTTCTGAATTCATTTTTATGGTGTAAATACTTTTATGTATGAATTGGATTAAGCCTGTCGGGAAATACCACAGCTAACATACAAGCAAGCATTACTTGCATTATTGACGCTGACACTTCTGAGAACAGCAGACCACTGAGTGATTCTGAAAGGAATCACAAAATAGTTTCTTCTGTAAGACTGATAAATAAGAAGATAGTACAATTACCTCATTGTTGTTGTTTCTAATAAATTACATGTAAAGTTGATTCTTCAAACACTCTGTGTGAGTTTCTTCTAGGCATATACATATGCTTGCTTTTCCACCTTAAAATTTTCTTAACATGTTTTCTGTAGCCAAAATATTTTTAATCAGGGCCTCACAGAATCTAATTTTAGGATGTTGCTAAATTATGGAAGGAAGTTGTCACACACTCTGAAAATCTAAATAGAAATAAAATATATTTGTAAGGAAATCCTGTGTAGAATTTATTTGGCTGTGTTTTATAGTTGGATTAAGGGAAAATTTTATAAGCAAATTATTTATTAATATTTTTATTACTTTATGAAGGAAGTCTGCTTTAAGTTCCTCTTAGTCTGTAGATTTATGATGGTGTTTCTCTAATTTTGAAAATATACTGGCAGTGAAATACAGAAATCTACTTCTCAAACCATATCTCCTCATGGCTTAGATATTTGTAGTCTGCTTGCAAGATTTGCAAGTGCTAAATCTTGTTGTAAACTTACAGACATGATAATGTGGAGATCTGATGGAGTGAAGAATGAAAAATGGGACGAAAAAAATAAATCTATGATATGGTAAATCATGTAAACCAAAGCTATTTGGAGAATCGTCTGAGAAAACCCAATGTATTGCCTTTTTTATATTTCAGAATTGTAGGATATAATGCAAAAGATGACATAGTGAAGCAACAGGAGGTTAACACTACATGATAAACATTAAAATTATTTATATTTACGAATTTCTTCTGCTATTTCTTCTGAAAATGAGCAAATAGAGATTGAACAGGAGATAATTAAATAGTTAATGCATTTGAAAATGTTTAGGGTCACATAATGTAAACTACGGAAAAACACTTTATATGGTATATTATATCAGCATGACAAAATTGATTTAGAAACATACATAATAGTTTTTAAAAACATGTCTGTTTTAACATGTGAAGTGGCTGCCAGAATGTTTGTGTTGTTCAGAGCCTTTTGGCCTCGTATGTCTTACTTTATTTTCGTTCCTTTCCCTTTGTTTTCTCTGAAACAGGATATAGCTGACCCTTTTTTTGCTTATTGTAAACAGCATGCGGACAGGTTAGACAGAAAATGGAAGCGGAAGAACTACTTGGCATTACAATCTTACTGTAAAATGTCCTTGCAGGAAAGAGAAAAACAGCTCTCGCCAGAAGCTCAGGTATTGTATTCATGAAAAAAATGCCCCTGTATTAATCATCCATGTTGAACAAGAATTCAAGAGGATGGGAAATGGTTATTATAGTAGGAAATAACATGTGAAATATGTTGATAATGCTTGGTCATTTAACAAAGCAGTGAATTACTTGTAGGTTTTGGTCTTTTAAGAACAATTCTCAATAAACTAATTAACAAATAGGGATATCTGTATCTGAGCTGGAAAATATTACTTTGGTTTTGTGGCAAAAAGTTAGTAATTACATTTTCATTGTAATTTGTAGATTTTTGTTTAACGTTTTCTTCAAAATTCTTAACAAAAAAGACAGCCAGACAATAAATGGGGCATATTTGTACATCCAAGTTCTGTAAAAATCCACTTTCTTCTCTTAGTAATATCTTGACCTGGGCAGAAGAGTTTTGCTCACCTAAACTTTTTTCTTGTTATATCCTTTTTCACTTTTTGGAGGCCTAAGTGGAATTCTATATGCTGCATTTTTCATAGTAAAGATTTCCCAGAAAAAAGTAATGTGGGTACAGAAACTGAGCCTGTCCTGCTGAGTTATCTGAAAATCTTAGGCGAAGTCTATTTCCCTGTCTAGTTGCAGGTCCATGTAAAACTGTTAGTTACTGCATAAGCTCAACCGATAAATGTCCTGTTGATATAAAGGTTTCAGTCCTTCTGAGGTAGTATATGTACTTTGATATGTTTTATGTGTGTACTTTATTATTTTTCTGATTCTGAGGAATTTGTAGCATACTTTGCTTTCATTGCATAGGCTGAACTGCATTCTGTGGAAAAATCATACCTGCAGTAGCTCGTCTGAATGAATCCTGCCTACTTTGTTGCAGAAAGTAGCAAGTGCTGTAAATAATGGAAGGCAGTTATGGGAGAGAAAAAACTCCTTTTTCTTCTCTGAAGGGAAAATTGTGATGTAATGATCAGAAAATACATCTTCATATCATCAAAATTTTATTTTTCAAAAAAATTATACTTTTCTAGTTCTTCAAACATCTTTGAATAGGAAAAGATAACATTAATTTAAAATGACCTGCACATTTGAGAATGAATATGAGCAAAGTCTATCATAGAAGAATTTTGAATGAAATATTTCTATGGGCTATGTATTGAGCTTCTTATAGCTTGATTTAGAACTGCTCTCAATTATGTGAAATGCACCTATGTAGTAGAGAAATGACAGTAATATGAATACTACCCAACATAATAGTAAGTGCTGGCTGGGCAAAATCAGTTTGGGTCCTACAGAGCTTATTAGCCCTGCTTTGTAGCCTAGGCAGGAATAACTGAGACAGTGAAAAGTAAATCCCTCTAAAGAATATAATATATAAAACTTTCTAGTTCTGTTATGGATTGTTGAAAGACATTCTATGTTGAAATACTTTTTTTTATATATATATCTCAATAAAGGAAATGTATATTCCTTGAATAAGGCGTATACTTGAAAATTGATTATATCCAAGTAGCTTCAGGATTCCATTTAGAGATTAGTAATTTTAATGTCATCTATTTCTGGAATAAAGCTCTAGGCATACAGTTGTTTGACATCTTAAATGACCTCAAGGATTTCAGAACTGAGCATGTAATCAGTAAAGAAGCATCTTAGCTGAGGAAGCTGTAAACCATCCTTGGTTTTTCCAGTGGAGAATAAAGTGAGGCAGTAGCTTTAGGTGAATTTATTGCTTGCTGCTGTGTGTCCAAGAAAAAGACCTTGGGAACAGAGCTGGCCTGCAAGCCACAGTGTTTCTTGGTCATAATGTTCAAGACCTAGTAAGGTAATGTGTGTTAATCTGCTAAGTATTGCCTTCAGTGATAGTATTTCTAATCAGAGATATTCCGTAAGCATGGCGTGTATAAATATGCACGTTTTTTACTTTTGTCTCAGGAGTATCTCATACCATATGGTGGGGCAGTTGGATTAGTTTAGTTTCTTCTTTCTGCAGGCAAGTAAACAACTTCTAACTGATAGTCAGCTGGAATTTTGCCTCTGAAGGTTTGTATGTTGATGTCATTTTCTGCTAGAACTGCCACTACATAGAGCTCCCACAAGACAGTGTTTTCCAACTGTCAGTGACAACTTGATCTTCTGGGGTTGATCTCCCAGATGGTCACAGATATACAGATGTCATCAACAATATATATTGTGAGCTTCTCTTGCCAACTTCACTTCTGTTTTGTAATTGGCTAGCTTAACATTTAAAAGGAGATACAGCATTGAGAAAGGAGTTCCTAAAAAAGGATGTAAAATATGGCAACGATGCTATTAATCAACTTCTATTGCTTACGTAGGTATCAATTAAAGGTGTATAAATGTATTTTGGATCGGTCAGCCTAGGCTTTTCCCAGTAGCGAGTTTTCACAGTCCCATCAAATTATTATTAGAAGGGATTGTCTGAAAGCCAGTAAACATTTGTGTTTAATTGGGGAAATGTTATCAAGAAATGCGTGAATACCTCCAAAAGCTAGTGGAAGGTTAATGTTATTTGTTTGTGTTTTGAAGTAAAATCAAATGTCTGTATCAGTGGATGTTTCTTGAGTCACAGAGTTCCCGAATGAAGACAGCATTGATTAGATCATACAGCTTTTAAAATGCAAATAAATTGCAGATGTGTTCCAAAAGGTTATAGAACTCAAACCCAGTTTTAAATTGTTCCTTTACATTTTCAATTTATGGAATTCTTTATTGCAGACTCGAATCAATGCCAGGCTTCAGCAGTACCGTGCCAAGGCAGAGCTGGCCCGCACCACCAGGCCTCAGGCCTGGGTTCCCAGGGAGAAGCTACCACGACCACTTACCAGCAGTGCTTCAGCCATACGTAAGCTTATGCGCAAAGCTGAGTTAATGGGAATTAGTACAGACATTTTTCCAGTGGATACTTCGGATACTAGTTCCAGTGTTGATGGAAGAAGAAAACATAAACAACCAGCTCTCACTGCTGATTTTGTGAATTATTACCTCGGTAAGAATTTTCTCAATGAAAAATTACCTGTTTTCTATATCTGTAATGTGCTGATTCATTGGCTTTTTTATTTTAGTTGTATTTTTTGTTATTAATAGATATGAATTATGACTTCATTTTTAGATCAGGTATGTTATCACTTAGTATCTGTATTTACGCAGAAAGTTAGTGATTTTTTTTAAAAAGACATTTCAGAAAAGAAAATGTTTCCCATGTAAACAGGAGGCAGAGTCCTTGCTAGGAAAAGAGTTAAAGCTTAGATACCTTTGCTGTCTTTTTCTTACGTTTTCCTCCCTTTCTGTGTGAAAATGTGTGATTTTTGTCTTTAGTACTGTTTTCTAGATGACTGATCAAAGCTCACCATTTAAATAACTACTCCTTATGCAGCAGGAAGTAAATGTTATGACTGCTCATTCTACTCAGTTTGTGTAATAAACCTATAGGCTATAGTTTTGTGGTTTTGTGTTCTTATGGTTTTATGCTTTTCATTGCTTGACTTTTTTCAGTGCATAAATCTTGAAAATGTAGCCAAGGATAAGAAATAATGCAGTTTTCTTTTAAACAGAGAGAAATATGCGCATGATTCAAATCCAGGAGAATATGGCTGAACAGAAGAACATCAAAGATAAATTAGAAAATGAGCAAGAAAAGCTTCATGTGGAGTATAATAAGGTGAAGAAGAAGGGATAATAAACTATTGTACTGTTTTAGTATTACTGCTGGTAACTTTGATAGCATTTTGCTTTGCAAACAAAATGACTTATAAAGAAAGATACAAACCATTCTTTCTTTAAAATTAGTATTGAAAAGCATATTTTTTCTTCTTTTAAAAACATTCTGTTTTCCACCACCCCCCATTGCACATGGACAGATATGTCCCTCATGGTGAAATGTGTCTTAAGGCCCTTCTTTTTTTTCCAGTCATTGTATGCAGTTCATTTGAGATTTTGAGACAACAGAGTTTGACTGCTCTCTCTCTGTGGGTTTTTTTTTGTTTGGTTTGTTTTGCTTGTGTGTAGTTCTAGGTTCTTTTTGAACCTGCTTGGTTCTCTGCTTGGAATGCTATTTGATAATTAGGAATCAAGGTTTGTCAGTGTGTTGTTTATTTATGTATTTATGTCAACTTGAGCTCCAGTGGTATTCATCTTAGATTTAATGACGTGGCCAATTTCTCAGGCAGAAATAATCAGTATTCACAGGTCCATACTGTCCTCTGAGTGTTTGGTTTGAGTATACGAAATGTGTGGCCTGTAAGTAATGGCATTGCTCCCTCAAGTTGTTGCTAATGCAGTTTTTTATTAACTCATCATCACGGTTAAAAAAGCATTTTGTGTTTTAAATGGATTTTTAATAAACAATTATTTCTTTAATCTTTAAATGTTTTTGAAATGGAACATAGAAATACTGTATCTTTTGTGACAGATGACAAGTTGCAATTCTTGCTGAATTCAGCAACATATCAAGTGATGGTTAGTGATGACATAAAATAGTATTGCTATTAATTCTTAAACTGTTGGATGCGTGTTTTAAATGAGAGCATATGGAAATGAAGCAGCAAGTCCTTGTGAACTGCCTAAAGATGATAAAGGGGAAGGAGATTGTGCATGGGGCTTTTAATCAAATGAATAGGTTGTATATGCTGTGTAGTAACTAACAGTTACTTCCAGAAGAAAAGGAATGCTTGTAATCTTTAATAACTTGTATCTCTTTCTATGAGATACATGCTTTCTATGAGAGTAAGTGAATGTTCTTTGCTAATGCAATATAGAGCTTTAAATCATTTATGTGGTTACTGCAGTGCTTAAGTAGTATAGACAACACATACAAGCTGTTGCTGTATTTAAGTTTTGTTTTCTAATTGACTTTATGAAACTGTATTTTCATGCTGCAATGCTTCAGATCTTCTTTACAAAACAGGTGGCTGTCCAGGTTTTCATCTTAGTTCCATTAAATTACTGAATGATTGCAGTGATCTCAATTATATTGACATGGGTTTCATTGCTTTTTTTTAAATCCCACAATAAATTAATGCACCCTAGATAGCTAAGAGGTTGGATAAATTGTATTAAATAACTCAATGGATTTTCATTCCTGTTGATTATTTTTTATTATTTTTATTTAACTTTTCAGCTGTGTGAGTCCTTGGAAGAACTACAAAACCTGAATGGAAAACTGCGAAATGAAGGGCAGGGCATTTGGGCTTTGCTGGGTAGAATCATTGGGCAGGTTGGTTGTTTTCCACTCCCCATTCCCTTTACAGTTCGTAGGCAGACCTGGTTTTCCATGAATAGGCCTTTTTGTTTCTGTCTTGTCACTTCTATGCCTGAATAAATCGATTTGATCAGACCCAGGCTTTGCTCTGGGGATAATGTTTCCTGATTGAAATCTCTAGACTTCTGCAAATCACCTACTGGGAACCTGTAGCTTAATTTTGTTGTTGTAATAGCGATCTTGTTTGCAGAATTCCTTCATTTGGTATAACTGATTGACCTGTCATTTGTGATGAATCTTAACGTGAAGCATGAGTTAATCCTACCATTTTTATCTCCACATTGTCTTTAGTGTAGGCTTTAAAAGATAGAGTAACTCTTCATGGCTTTTATAAGACATAAATCTTTAAAACTGCAGTATGTACATGATGATTTTTAACTGGACAGACCAGAATATTCCGGTCAAATGAATATAAACATCTTGAAGTAGATTTGTATTGCTTCCTGTTGCCAGCAATTATCTTTGCTCTCTTTAATACACATGGAGAAAACAGAGAAATGTAGATTCTTGCCGTGTTTTGATATATATTTCATGTCAAAAGTATTAAGCGGCAATGAATATTTTAAATGTCAGAGCTTGCAATTTCCAATTATGTTATTAAGGAAGAATGAAGAAATTGTTAACTGTGGAAGTACAGACATACAATTAGGTCACGATTTTGTCATGCCCTTTGATGCTGCTGAGTTTGTGCTGCTGTTGAGAAAATGAAGCTTTTTTAATGCAGTAGTAGTTCTGAAGGAATGCTAGCTTTTTCTAGTTCTGTTTGTCCATCTATCTTTTCTAATTGTGAAGAAGGATTCTCACATAATGTATGTCTTGAATCAAGTTGTTTTTTTTTTATCCCTTTCTTTTTAAGATGGCTTTGAGTAAGTATTCACAAATACATTTTGTGGTGCAAGTGTTACTAAATTAAAATAAAGGAGAAGAAAAGTTAAGTAGAATTCATTTGCACAGCTTGCATGACATTTTTTTTCCAGTTGGTTGAACAGATGCAGACCCATGAGGCTGCTGAGAAATGACTTTGATAGATGGTTGCTGTCTGAGAAGCTAGCATACTGCAGATTAGTAGAAACCCGAAGAGAATCTCATCTGCTTTGTGGAGGGCTTGGTCCAATAAGATAATTTTTCTAATTAACCTATCGAGCACCAATGTAGCAGGGATGTTGGGGAAAATAAACTGCTTCAGTATTCTGTCAGTTTTGTGAATTTGCCTTTGCTTGTTTCAGCTGCCTAAACAAATGCATCCTTGTCCATCCCACTAGTTGAAGCCTGAAGAAAAAATTTAAAAGCTAGTATTTCAATATGGTTTTTGTTTATTGAACTGAAAAAAAAATGTATAGTATTCCTTTATCCCAGTATGATTTTGTAATATAAACATCTGTAGTTGCTCTTGTCTGTAAAATAGCTAGCTGAGCAATTTTCTACTCATAGTTTGAGTCTTGTTCTTCCTGCATTAAGATTGGAGAGGTATTCTCTAAAAGTCTCAAGACTCATGTATACTGCATTTGTTCAAATCCAATAGAAATTGAACATACCAGCGATTTTACGTGCTCCAAAGGAAAGGAAACCAAGTAAAAAGGAAGGAGGGACACAAAAGACATCTACACTTCCGGCCGTACTTTATAGGCAAGTAATGAAGTCTTGACAAAATAGACACAACATCTAGTAACGTATCATTTCACACAAGTCTTAAGAGAAAGTTATTTGCTTTGGTTTTAATAAAATGCTTCAGAGTTTTCTATATGTTTTATTTACTTCTGAAGGCTAAGGTGAATAGTAGTCAAATTCATCACCTTAGCACATATTGGTCAGGTTTGGGGTGCTTTAAGGACATTCACAGCTGAAATAGAAGGGTCCTTTGTCTCTGTGATGTGAAAATGCGCTCATCTGTGCTGAGGATTTTGCGAACAGTGCTGCTGCTGTTTAGTCACAGTGGCTGGGTGCATAAAACACTTGTCGTATAAGAATTTTTACTTTTTGCTCACAGATTGTCAAATGCTTTGGGATGTCTCATGGTTTAAATTTCCCTACTTCTATGTCTATTAATTCCCAGGAAAATAAAAGATTTTCACTTATTCTATCATTGTTCCACCTTTTCCCCTCTTGTATAGGTTGTGAAGCTACTGACTGGGTTTTAACTAAGCCTAACAGTGGAACTTGGTAGGATCTCAAAGCATGACTGTGCGAAATATTCGTACCATCTTGCATCCTCTCTTGCCACCGGCTGAGAAATGGCACAGTTTGTTGCTTATCTAGCAGCTGGGCCTCCAGCCACAGCGAGTGGGCAGTATCTTGCCCAGCTAGCAGGCTAAATGAAGAAGAAGGGTTATGTAAGCAAAAGTTAATTTTAGTGCTGTGAGAGGTAGAAATCTGTTCTCAAGGCATGGCAGTGGGCTGAGGATTTAGCAATTCAAATGCATACACAAACAAATAAGTGGAGTCATGCTTTACTAGTTCTGTTTCATTCAAATCAAGTCATTTAGTTCCTCCCATTTTATAACAGAATCAATGAACACCTGTTCTTTCGGAAATAACAAAAAATTCAATTCCAGTAAAATAATAGTAATAAAAAGGAAATAGAAATAATTTCTTATGAGTTGATACATTGCCCAACATAAAAGCAGCACAGACCTATTTCAGGGTGCTTGCATTGTGGAAATAAGCATGTGATTGTTAATACTGATAATAGCAGCATGATTTTCTATTTAACCATTTGAATGGCACAGGTAGTATTTTTTCCATTTGCCACTGATTCATTTTGTTGAAGAATCAAGTGATTACTTACTGTTTAGAAGTCATCAAAAATTAGATTGAAAGGCATTTATTGTTAACTACATTAGGTGTCTTTTATGCTTTACTGTGTATAAGTAGCAGCTCCTTAGAAGTAATTATGCACTTAAAAGATGCATTCAAATTGAAGTTGCCACATGTTTTACTGAAACTGGGGCATGTTCTGGGATGTATCGTTTATGATTTCAAATGTAATTATAATTCTTTTCTACTACCTACATTAAAAGTTGTGGAATTTGCAAGAAGAACCATGATCAACACCTACTGCTACTGTGTGATACTTGTAAACTCCATTATCATCTTGGTTGCCTGGATCCACCTCTTACAAGGATGCCAAGGAAGACCAAGAACAGTTACTGGTAAGAATGTAGTTGTTGTGTTGTCTTGTGCTATCTCTGTACTTAAAGTAGGAAATAAACATGAAGAGACTTGCAATTTAAAAGTGTTTTAGATGTTGCTATAATGCAGTCTGAACAGAATTAATTTATTTTCAGGTTATTAGCAGTGATACTTCAAGGTAAAAAAAAAAAGTTGTAAAGATTTTCTCATTATTAGCTACTGTGTAGAAATAGATTATGGCTTTAATTTTCTTAGCTTTTGAGTTAGTTTGGGATTATTAATGCTGCTATATAATAATGGTAGGAACCTATAGGCTGCCTTCAGGAAATGAAAGGCTTGGTCTTCTGTTTATCTTAGGACCTGGATATGCAACTCTCTGTTCAGATCTTTAGGAAAATACTTGTAAATATGTAAATATAAACTTGTAAGTGGTTGGTTGATCAGCTTATTGCAATATGGGAAATCATTTGGGTTTACTTCTGTATTGTGACTCAAGTCTGCAGTGGCAGAAGCATATCCATAACCCTACTTACTACAGTTACATTTCTGTGAGTTAGAACTCTTCTTGTGCCAGTGGAGCAGAACAAAGGCTCAGTGGTACAATGGGGAACTGTAACGTGGTAAAGGTGCTGATTCCAAACTGTCATAAAACTAGTGTGCTGCTGGGTTGTGCTAACGTTCTGTATGTTTCTGAACTGCTCTGAAATGTGATAGAAGCAGATATTCAGAAGCAAATTTCTATCTGGCAAGAAATTAGTGTACAGCATCTTCAGAAATCATCATCACCTTTTCTGAACATTAAGGTGACAAATCAGAATAGTATAAGAATTCCTTCTACAAATACAGTAAAACTATTTTAATTGAGAAAACTTGGTTTCTGTTTATCTTCATATATCTTAAAAAAAAAAAGTCAATAAAACATTTACTTAGGCCATCTTTTTGGGAATTTTTGATGATTGTGTGCAGAGCAAGATGGCTGGTACAGGAAATGAGTCTTTCTTTTTTCATATCATAACAAGACGAAACCTGGATTTACCCCAGTAAATTTTGTTAGTAAATTAATAGAGATTTCCTTTTAAAACTGAAAGATCTCAGAAAGGTTTTCAGCATCACTAATATTTTTCTGAACTTAATTCTCCTTTAATTATTTAATGTAATCTGTGATTTTGGACTTTTCATTATTTCAAGGCCAAGTAGTTCTATCACATGGAAGCATTTAAAAATTTTTTTGGTACCTTCTGCATTTGCACAGGAGGTTCTTGATTTTTATTCTGCTTTTTAACCAAGTTGAAAAGGCTCGCTAAAAGCTGTCAGTCCAAAAGATTACAATTCTCAGTAGATGTTAATGGCAGAATAGGTCAGGTTAGGTAGTAAAACGCTTTTATTTCAAAGCTATAACTTATCTTTGTTGGGAATTTCATGCTTCAATTATATCTCAGATCACAAACTTAGCTTTTACTTCTAATTAGCTAACGCATATTCTGGAGTGTGAGATTATAGCAGACAAATTGAGCTGTATTGATTGCATTCTTTTCATCATTGGACATGCCTTTATGTATTCTTTTCAGGATCAGCAGAAAGCATGCAGAAAGGGCTCTTAATCTAAGTTTGAGTTCAG